TAAATCAAAAAACCTTTAACCGGTCTATTTACAACCATAAAACATATTTCAATTGTTTTAGTTATAATACTTTATGACAATATTTAGTGCACAATTAAATCTTTTAGAGGTTGTAATATTTCAATTTGTATAATTACACTAGCGGTTCCGGAAATTTACCCTGAAAAAAAAAACTTAAGCACGATTGTAGCACAAACTATCAACTCTATTTGTTTTTTAGTTTTAATTTATCAGATGCTATAGTAGGCATTCGCTTGGCTTGGCCCCTGATGTATATAATAATAATAATCTAAAGAAAAATAATAATCTAAGAGACCCCAGCTACCCCCAAAAAATTGGTCCAGAGTTTAAGGGGAGTTCAGTGACAAACCTACAGAAAACTCCTACGGAAAATTCAAAAACAAAGACAATCTGTAAAGTACACAGTGTACACGCACTGTACCTATAGGAAGATTGTTATTTTTAGTTGAATTTAGGTAATCATGTTAACTTAAAATTGTTAATTAATTAAAATGGTTGGCCCGCTAATTATCATACCGCGATGACAGACAATCTAATGAAAATGTAAAACCAAAACTTGGCAAGTGACTGTTGCTTATTTAGTTTCACACGACAACGAGTGATGCATACTAAAGTTTTGAATGCTCCAGCCCTATTCTGGCTTCAAGCCAGAACAGTTTGTTCAACCGGCGATCGCTTGCTGGTGATAAAGTCTTCTTTTAGGAGCTTTGATTCATATCAGAGTCTGTGTTTCTTGTGTCAGATAGACAATACAAATTAACAAAAAAACACAAAAATAATGAATAATGACAAGCGAACTGTCATAAAAAAATCCACAGAACCAATTTAAACTTAAAATATGCCAAAAATTATTAAAAACTTGCCCATTTAGGCCAAAACACAAAATAGTTCAGCACCTATTACTCCTCTTCTGTTTATGGACCGATTTTCTTTTTTTCTCATTAACAAACTTTTGACAAGATAGAAATATGAGTAAAAAAATAAAAATATTTTTACATACTACGTTTACAAAAAAAAAATTTCAAAATCAAAACCTTTATGAAAATGTACTACAAAAAATGGACTTAAGTCATGAACTGAATTCTAGATTTGAAGGAAAATGTCGACAAGTAAGCCAACGCTAGTAATACGATAAAGCGCAATATTTAAAATATACCTTTACCATCGCGAAAGACACTGCACCCGGCCCGGATGGCATCCATGGCCGGGTTTGGGCCTTGGCTCTTGGTGCCCTAGGGGACCGACTCTTGAGGCTTTACAACTCCTGCCTCGAGTCGGGACGGTTTCCTTCATCGTGGAGGACGGGCAGACTCGTGCTGTTGAGAAAGGAAGGGCGCCCGGCGGATACTGCCGCTGGGTACCGTCCCATCGTNGGCGAGGGGGGCCTAAGAAGACGACGTGCAAGCTGCTCTGCACGCGTTTTACGCAAGAGCATCCGGGTGATGGAAGGCCGGCTATCCTCGACTCACGCTGGTTCTGGTCCAGCGGGGTATTCCGTAGGATAGCTCACTCTAACCGGCGCCATCTAGGCGGGCTTCGGATAGCCTGCCGACCGAGAGGGCTGGTGGTCGTGGTGCCGACGACCGCCGGTCCGGCGTCCCGAGGGGGAGGGTGATGGGAGAGATGTGCTCCGCACTAAACGCTTCACTTTCCCCCCTCTGCCTCTTCATGAGTTCTGTCTCATGCGAGGTTTGGACGTTGGTTGTTGAGCGACAGGAGGTTTTAGTCAGTTCGACTCTGACATGCCCCGCTCTCCATCCCCAGTGGAGGGCGGAAGTCCGGCGATTTCCTCCTGACAAAAAAAAAAAAACCTTTACCATAGCTCTACTTATTACAGTTGGGCAGCCAAATTCACCTAATGTTAACTAGCATCCTCTCTTACAAGAACGTGGCCACCTTAAGAACTGACATTGTACAATAGTTTGCTAACCGCAACACCAAATGGTACAGTATCACCAACCAACGCAGACTTACAATACGCACTACTACCACAGCTTTTACTGAAGGAAATTAACTAATAAGAATAAGTTTGAGAAATAGGTTTTATTTCAGAGAAAGGTCTAAGAGAAGATGCGAGGGTACATAGACAAAATTTATTTTACCTATTTGTGGGGTACCACCTATTACGCAATACTATCCCTAGTAAATAGGCAATTGAAAAATAAAAACGAAGTTTTTTTTGTTAAGCGACCTAATTTCCTCCATAGAAGCCTTTCGTGAATTAGGTCGGAGGTGCCGTTTAAAAAAATCTAACCCCGATAGCTGGGTTTGAACCTCAATACAGTTGCTTTGGTTGATGAGTAAGCCGGACGTTTTACTCATTATGCCGCGGAGACTTCGGTTATCATGTAAGATGACGAAATACTTGTATTGCACAATACCGTCATACCATTTCTCAGACTCCTCTAAAAAGATTAAACAATTCGATGAAACCGGCACAATGCATTTGTTACCAATAACCGCCAATAATACTCCATACCCGATCCTGTAGACCGAATGGTAAATAGTCGACGTCGCCCAAAACACATCATTGCGGATCATCCCAATCCATTAACGGTGCTTTTAGGTACCACAAGCACCGGTCACCGTGCCCGTCGAACCCCTCGCTTGCGACGAAGGGCTCGACTAGTGAATTAACCCACAGACACAGCCCACTGAGTTTCTCGCCGGATCTTCTCTGTAGGTCGCGATTCCGATCCGGTGGTAGATTTTGCGAAGCACTGCTATTGCTAGGGCCAGTGTTAGCAACACTCCGGTTTGAGCCCCGTGAGCTCACCTATATGTTAGGGCGAATCTGAAATAGCCTCTCAAGGCTATCAGCATAGGTAGGAATAAAAAAAAATACAGTTGCTTTGGTTGATGAGTAAGGCGGACGTTTTACTCATTATGCCGCGGAGATTTCGGTTATCATGTAAGATGACGAAATACTTTTATTGTACAATACCGTCATACCACTTCTCAGACTACTCTAAAAATATTAAACAATTCGATGAAAGCGGCACAATGCATTTGTTACCAATAACCGCATTCCAAATATTTAATTAGTATTTTTTTTGCACATAACGAAATGAAAAACTCAATACATATATATTATATACTCGTATTTATAATAATACTATCACTACGCCGCTCCAGAAGAAGTGTAAAAGAGTGATCGTTATAACTTTGAGTATGTTTTTGCGAAAAGAAAGTCCAAGTAGAATTCTTTGTATGAATGCAATACAAATCGCCCGAAGGCTCGTATATTTCTGTCGACTTGAGGCGTTAGATTAGAGGGCTCTCCGGTTCAAAAGATTTATGACGGCAATACTGACTCAATTCGAGGCGCTTAGAGAGTTTTCATTGCAATCGACCCTTTTGTATTATTTATTGAAATCAACGCTCAAAGATTACTTAACAGCTTATAACAGCTGTATTAGCATAATATACTTATAATATATAACAACAATATTATATACAATTATTTTTTTAAACAATTTCTTGTCCCTCTAAAACTTTATGTGTGAAAAAAATGTTTTAGTAACTTCAGTAGCAGGAAATATTAACTGCTATTTTAAAAATATTTAACATACACATATATTCTATTAATATTATAAATGTGAAAGTTTGTAAGAATGTATGGATGTAGGTATGTTTGTTACTCTTTCACGCAAAAACTGCTGATGAAACTTTACGACAATATAACTTACACATCTGAATAACATATAGCCTATAATTTATAAAGATATAGTGTGAAGAACTTAAAATATAACGATAAGTGCCAAGTAAGTAGGAAAAACAATCTGCCATGTGCGAGCTATTCTGGCGTGTGCTGCAAAAACCGTTGGAGTTAGACGTATTTAATATATTATGGAAATGTTTATCTTAAATGACTCTACAAAAAAGCTCCTAACAGCATATATGTACTTATCTCTCTTTTATGTGTAAGCCATTATCGCCAAAATAATGAACCATAAATGCAATAAAAATTGATAATTTATTTCTAACTCATATTTAGTAGTCACAAATTGATTGTTATATGAAAATAAAAACATTTATCGCATCTGGTATTTAAATTAGAAAAACTTTGTATTTTACACTACGTCATTAGTACAAATATTTGAATAGTTGTGACTGAGTGCGCGACGATATGAAAGATGAAGACAGAAAATTCAATAAGATCAATATTAAAAAATTACCGTTCCCGAAACGAAGCGAGGGTGGGTTACCAGTATTTATATACTTTTGAGTGTTTGAAATCTTGCTTCATTTTATTCATGAACAACAAAAGGGTACTCATTACAAGCTTTACCGTACTCATTAGATAAATAAGAGGCAATACGAAGTGACAGCTACAGAGGAATTAAGTTACGCCGCCGTTACAAATAAATAAAACTTTTTAAAGGGCTAATGATTTCAAGAAAAATGTTTTGGGTCGTCGGTAATTCTATACAATTGCTTCTGTTGATTCTCAGTGAATGTTTTATTCAGAGTAAATTATGTAATTTTTAATGTTTTGTACTATGGTTCACATTGGTAATTAATTAGCACTACACAAAAACAAATTTTTTTTTATAATCAATAATTTTAACATCTCCTAATATAATATTATATTTTACAGTAAATTAAATTATTTTAAGAGCACAATGAATATTCAGTCACCCTCGTGGACCTAAAAAGCTGACCAATTTTCCTTTTTAGTGGACGAGCTGATCAAAGGACGTTCGATCGGTGAACCGATAACAAAATATTTCACTGCCTCATAAATTTTTGGTCAATTTATCGACAAGAGCGTCACTTGTAATGTTTTATCAAGTCTACCAATCTACCTATTTTGGTTTTTTATTCTAGTTTTGATTCTACGAAATCATATGACTCCACACAAATAAAATAATTATAATTTATATTGATTTAGCCGTTCAGTGTATTTTTGAGAATACGAACTTCTAATTGATGTCGATTAAAATATAACTACGGAATAAAAATAAAAATAAATTCAATTAATTTTTAAATTACATTTTAATTAAAACGAAAACAATTCACTAACATTCTCTAAAAACGAATCAGCCATGGATTTAACATAGGCACTCATTGTTTCACTAAAATTGTTGAATTTTGAATCAATTAAATATTGCAATTCCCCAACTAAAACTTTGAGAGGAAATCGTGGCCTATCTCTGATTGGTTTTGCTACTTGTTCATTATCTTCTAGCCATGGTGACCATACAAAATCACGAAGGGAGGGATCAGATTTTTTATCGATTTTCACTAAACATCTAGGGTTTATTTGTGCCCAGTAATAACGTAGTCGCAAAACCATACGTCTCACAACATCAGGCAATGAAGACCATAAATTCGTGGTTTCTAAAGGATCTGCTGTGATGTTAAACAAACACCCTGATTCTGAAACAAATCAAACAATAACGGTACTAGTAAATAAGATGTTTCTTAATTCAATATTCCTCAAAACTTCATAGCACTTACCTCTTGTTGGTACGCAAAAATTAAATTCTTGTGAAATATTATGTTTCGAACGTAAACTCAGCTTATCTCTTTTATGAAATATTTCATCTAAGTCCAAATATAAATCTAAAATCTCTTTAAAAACATGAGCAGCTTCTGAACTAAGTAGCGTGCTCTCGTATAAATGTACTGGCAGCCGCAATTCTTTGAATTCATTTCCTAAATAAACACTGGTTTCCTTATCAACATCTCCGATTATTATTTTGAAATCTCCATCTCTGTACGCAGCCCAACCGTTCAAATCGTCAACTGTTAATAGTAAACGCTTTCTACTCGAATCCTCGTCTTTTGTAAGAGCATTCCATTGGTTCACACCATCGATTCCAGTTGGAGCTTTACCTCCGGCTGCAGCAACTAAAGTAGGCAACCAATCTGTAACATGGAATAATCCATTCCAGATTTGAGGTGTGATTGACGCATGCCATACTATAGCGATTGATCTAATAGCGCCCTCCCAAGGTCTTCCCTTCGTTCCTCTCAAGGGTAAATTGGATCCGAAATTTTGTGTCGCCCCAACGGGCGCAGCACCGTTGTCCGAAACAAATATAATCAATGTATTATCAAGGATTTCCCTTTCTGCTAGTGCTGCTATAATATTTCCAATACTTCTATCTAGACCTGTAACCATACCTGAAATACATATCATTTTTATTTTATTTTTCAAAAACGTACAATTAATTGTTTTCAAACATGATAAGTAACAGCGGCCGAAAAATATCACTTGCCTGCATATAATCTTCGAGCAGAGTGAGCAATATGATCATTTGCGTTTATTGTGTCTTCGGGAGTTTGTAAATGAACCAAACCACCGCCTGCGTGTGGAGCAGCATGACATACATGGAGATAAAGCGGCTTATTTATATCATGGTTTCTAATAACTGAAATAAATTAGCGTTTGTTACCGAGAGCTGGTCAACAAATCACTGCCAATACATTCTATGATTCAAACACTAAGAATATGATAATGTTTATAAAATAAAATAAAAATTATATTCTGAATGCGGTTCTACATTTACTTACTTTGAATAGCTTGATCTGTAATAATATCAGTGAGATGACCTGTTTGATTATCAACTGGGTGCGTGTTTTCGAACAAATCAAGCCCGAAAAACGCAGATCCATTAAAACTCTGCAAATTTTGAAAACAACGATTGAGCTAACCCAATTTTCTGTGCAAACTGGGACAGATAATGAAATTGTCTTTCTTGCGTGCATTATGTAAAAATATTTAGATTATTATATACGCTGCATAGTTCAAACCTAATATTATATCTAATCAAGGTTTAAACAAAGTTAATACAGCAGTAAGTTACGTCAATTTAAAGTGGACATTTCATTTTTTTTATGTGATTTAATAGCATGTAACATAATTTACTTAAAACAGGAAACAATAAAACTAACCATAATTATAACTAAGGATCACAAACCTCCACATGGCTATACGTATAGTAGTCAACTGATCCGGTTACGAAGCCATAGAAAGTGTCAAACCCTCTGCTTGTTGGCAAATAAGATTTCCTCGAATGCCCCAGTTGCCATTTACCGAGCAAATGTGTAGTGTATCCTGCATCTTGCAAATAAGAAGGTAGGAGACGTTCGGACAACGGTACCCCACCATCTTCCGTTGCCGCTATCGATGAACCGTGAGTCCCTAAAGTTTGGGGGGGGGGAGATTTTTACTTTAAACCGTAACGTACTATGTTTAATAGAAAAGAATCTATGAGTTCTATATAAGGTTTCCGTTTTTTTTCCAGTACAATGGCCGGTCCACCCTTCAAACCGAAACGCATTGCTCCTTCACGGTAGAAATAGGCAGGGTCTACCCGTGCGGACTCAAGACGTCCTACTACCAGTAATTACGCAAATTATAATTTGGCGGCTTTCATTCTTATAACACGATGTGATTCCTTCGCTGTGGAAGTCAATTGTGAAACATTTGTTAAGTACGTATTTCATTAGAAAAGTTGGTACTTGCCTGTGAGGTTCGAACACTTGTTTCGTTAGATACGAACGCACCGGAAGTTATCCTTTAGGCCACGACGACTTCGTATACACGAAGACTTTTAAATTTTGAAGTGAACTATTAAGCCCGTATTTTAAATAATTTAAATCACTTTTTGTTTTGCACAACTAAGATTGATAATATATATGAATAAGCTGTTATTCGAACACTGTTAGATGGGATCTGCCTTCAGGATATTTTTGAAAATAAATCAGAGTCATGAACTTACCTAGACGAATAGCGTATTTTCCAGTGAAAAGAGCACTCCTCGACGCGGTCCCTAGTGAGTCCGTGTAATATTGATGCAATATTGTACCTTCATATCCCATTATGTCGATATTTGGTGTCATGATTTGATCAGATCCGTGAATGCTAACATCGTCCCATCCCTACAAAATTGTAAAACAACTTATCTTTCCACAACATTTAACACGACCGGCTACCTACTTGCCTTCGTGGCCTACGAAATTTACAAAGTATAGAATTATAACTTTCACCGCTAAAACAAGATGAAGGCACACGTAATAAAAGGTTATTTATTATTTTATTCCACGAAATATAATATTATAAACGTCTATTCGCGGTGTGGCGTTTTGTGAGACCGCATGGTTAGATACATACTGTCAACCCATTGGATTCTTCGGCGAAACATTTATATGTTCGGATTCTGGTTATCTTTATTGTAATCGAGAATCCGATTTTTTTTCCAACGTGAGTGGTGGCCACAGATAACCCCCTATCTGTGGTGGTGGCACTCGCTTCGGTTACCGTTTAAAACTTGACCGGCAGTGAGTTTGCTGGTCTAGTCTACGAATTATTGAACGTTAGTTAATTATTATTAAAATCGTTGTGACATGCTCACTTACCAAATCATCTGCAACAATGAAAACTATATTAGGTTTCACTATGTCTTCTGATAGCGTGTTTAAAATTAATGTACCAATAATACTGTAACAAAGTAAATGGACATATTATTTATACTTTTATGTTGTTAATATTTAAAAAAAAAAATCACTCACAATAAAAATGTAAAAAACATATTCGTTTGTAGTTCAGGAGATCATTGGGTTCGTACTAAATGTGAGGAATGATTATTAAAATTGAGGAAGATTTATACGAGTGGTATAAGTCAGAAACTTAAAATGATTCATTAAATATACGATTTTTATCAACGATCTTTAAGCGATACAGGCACTACAAGCATGTGGGCTTAGATTTTAAAAATATAGTTACCATTTCTTATGTATATGTTTATATTTTTTCCAATAATTTTTCTTCTTCGTCGTTTTCTTCATTACTGAAGGTCGTGTCCCTGAAACATGACCGCGGCCGGCCTCGTGAGCTCTTTCCACCTCGTCCTGTTCTCAGCTTCTCATATAGCGGTTGCGACTAGCAACCCAGTCAGTGGGGTTATTTGGTCACACCAGCGGCTAGATGATCGGCCGTGGGGTCTCTTTCCTTCTACTTTTCCTGTCATATCACTTTGTCCAGTTATCTGACTGTCGGCGGGCATGTGAACGAAGTAGCATAAGTAGTAGTTTCAAACAATAAAGAATTATAAAATATTTCTCCATACAACATAGTGTCATTCCTTGATTTAATATCAAAAAGATTTTATAATATCAAAAGAACTTGACTTGTACTATACGAACACTAAACACCTGGACAAATTCTACAATTGCCGCCGTTGTCCACATCTGTATTATCACGTCTGAAAGAGTAACACAATACCTACCATTGATGTCAAAGTTTGACATAAATTATTATTTTAAATCCTAACTATAATATACCAAAAATAACGCTGTGTAGCATGCAAAGCAATAACAATAATTTGGAATTATTTATATACGACAGAAATTAGTTTGGTTCGTATTCAATTTCATGAACATTTCCGATGCCACCGTAAGTGAAGAACAGAAAGTGAAAAAGTTTGGTGTTTGTTTTACTAAACTAAGATGATAAAGGAGATGACGCAACCACTGCTGATGACTATACTATGGCCATTGATATTGTTCGTAATACGATATATCGTGTCTACAACTCATGAAAGTCAAACAATATATTAAGCATTGCTTTACATCGTTTCAATTTTATTTGATTACGACATGTTTCCATCACCTGGTATTTAAATGCACGTGAATGCCGCCAACCGCCTTAATATATGAAAACTAAACTTTAATGTTGAAATTTTACTAAAAAAAATTGCTGTATCTGTACTGCTTTCCCTTTAATTCTTTTTTTTATTGCTTAGATGGGTGGACGAGCTCACAGCCCACCTGGTGTTAAGTGGTTACTGGAGCCCATAGACATCCACAACGCAAATGCGCCACCCACCCTGAGATATAAGTTCTAAGGTCTCAAGTATAGTTACAACGGCTGCCCCACCCTTCAGACCGAAAGGCATTACTGCTTCACGGCAGCAATAGGCAGGGTGATGGTACGCACCTGCGCGGACTCACAAGTGGTCCTACCACCAGTAAAAAGCTGTAGATGTCTATGGGCTTCAGTAACCACTTAACACCAGATGGGCTGTAAGCTCGTACATCCATCTAAGCAACAAGCAAAATAAGTCATAAGTCCCAGGATTGCGCCCCGGCGAGCGCGCAAGCTGCCCCTCGAAGGAGAAGGTGCTGTTATCCACAGATTTTTTGATATACCCTGCCATCAACAAAAAGTTTTTTTTGCGTCGGTTACTTATGCTTGGCTGCTGCTAATGTTAGAACTAGTACCGTTCGAAAGCGCTAATTAGGTAGATCCATCTGGACGTGACTACAAAGCGGTATAATTATTTCAGAATGAAACATTTTCAGCGGTAAGGCAGGCAATGTAATGGTTGCTTATTAAAAAAGCAGTAAATAAGAAAACATAAAAAGCCAGTTTCATCCAACTTTTTTTGCTATAAAACAACAATTTGCATGAGAAATGAGAACAGCCGGTATCATGAGTTTAAGTATAACAAAACAAAGTATAATTCGTTAAATAAACCCCAAAAAAACATTTTACATAAACAAATGATTTCGGGTTTGTTATTTAGTTACATATCTATCACGGCCATTTGTGGCTCTGAATGAAATCTACTGTTCATTTCTATTATTTTAATAATGACAAAATAGCCACGTATGAAATATTTTAGGTACAAAAATTGGCCAAAATTTAATTTCGAAAGTTCCTAAATGACTGACGCGAAAAATGGGGAAATGACGTCATTTGGTATATTACTTTCGTATAAAATTATTGTACTGTTTTCTATGAAAGCACAGATATTATCACTCTCTTCCTGAATTATATGATAATAAATCTGAAATCCTATAATTTAGTGGTAGCCATTACTCTTGCCGATAAGGGAATCTAACTTGATTTTAAATCTACCTAACTAATATTTAGAATAAAATGATCATGATATTTTATAAGTCAAACTATGTACTTCGATTGTTTAATCTTACATATTTTTTTTTCATTTAGCGTTTACAAAGTTTCGTAAGTTGCAATTTTGGAGGTCATGAGCGACCAAAACGTTATTTCTTTGTCGAGAACGTTTTGGGAAATACCCACGCTATTCTAGATTCTAGAGTATCATGTCAGCATCAGTCGTGCATACGTTGTATATACTTATGCATATATATGTATATTACTATGTCTTGTTTTGTCGTGCGTACATAATTTATGTTGCAAGCCGGATTTTGTTTCTTTTTACTTGTGTTTTTTATGTATCTTTTTAGCTTGTAATGCTTTTTTTTTTTTTGCTTACATTGATGGACTAGCTCACAGCCCACCTGGTGTTAAGTGTTTATTAGAGCCCATAGACATCTAAAACGTAAATGCACCTAGGCAATACTATCTATTGCATTGCCAATGCGATCTAAAAAGCATCGTCACTCTCTAGTGCCAGTATAACCAATCACAACGTCTTACCAAAAGGCACCTGCAGTACTGCGGATATATACGTAAGGAACTGAACGTTATGATGGAGAATCTCTCGAATCTCCGGCCAACTTTAGTAATCGCTCATCGCCGCTGCTCCTACACGACAACACATATGGTACTACAGACGGTGTCTAAGCTACAAGAGATAAGATTGAAAGTTTTGTGTCATCCACCGCCCTCACTAGACCTTGCACCACTACCACGTTTGAACAGCTTCTTGGTAGGGAAAAAAATAAATACCCCAAGAGGCAGTAGAAAATGCCTTTGAAGTGTTTTTTGGCTCCTGTATACCTTCTTCAAGAAGGGCATTGAAAAATTACCACTGCGCTGGCAAAGATGCATCGATACCATAGGTATGATTAATTATGATTGATAAAAAAAAAGGAATTTAAAAAAAATACTAACTTTCTGTATACTAAATGGTAAGTTCATAGGTAAATATATTACTTATTTAAACGTTTATTATTACTTTATTATTACTTATTTAAAGGTTATATTCAAACGTTTGTGTGACAAAAGCATTTTGTGAAAGCTTGAAACAATTTTCGTATCCATGCGGTAGATAGCTGAATTTAAATCCGGAAATTCTCACATGCAACAGCTGTTGGAATATTTCCGGAAAATGTTCGTGATGTTTTTTCGATTTTCACTTTACAAAATCTTCAGCCATGTGCTGCCACTAAATTGAAACTCTTTTACTTTTGTGAGTTTTTATACCTCCCGTCAGAATTTACAATAAACACTTTTTTCATATTTTTTGTTATTAATGTTACAAAACAATAACGTTACAATAAAAATAACACATTATTAACACAATATTACATTTAGGTAACCGAATAAATAAGTTAAGATTGTTTTTCCAGATCATCCACTTTAAATTTTAAAGGCGTAAAAACATGGATTAGCAAGTTGGATCGCTTAGCAGCGAAAGAATTCCTATTAATCGTCGAACAAAAAACAAGAGTTTGCATTGTAGCCGGCAGGAAACCTTAATGCTTCTTCGAAAGTAGGGGAACTAATTAAAAGTTTAACACCTATTGTTGCTTCCGACCGCACAGCCGTTGCCGACTCACAAATTAGTTCAGAACTGTTGTTTACCCATAAATGCAATAAAACTACGATAGGTTCCAGTTAACATTCAATATTAGTTATTACTTTTACTAGAATCATCGCAATTCCTTCGACATTAATTTCCCATTTTTTTTTATTCAAATATATATTTTATAAGAATTTGATTTTGTTACGAGAATTGTTGAGTAAAAAAACGAATTCTTTTTTATTTATTTTACTTTAAAATTCTAAATAGGAAATTATTACCCGCTTAAATTTGTTTTTAGGTCAGCACGACGGATCGCTTGACCAATTGTTGACGCTATTTTTTTTTATGTAACGGTTTTTTATGTTAGTTTGCTCATATAAAATTTCCACTACACTAAGGTTAAGTAATGTTACTTTTTTAATGACGGTGTATTGTATAAGCTTACGGGATATATCAGCGTACTGATTTCTGCATGGATAAATCATGCGTTCCGATTTGTAGATTTCGATCTCATTTATTTTTATTCGTGTTTCAATGAAGGCATCGGTATTACCTATATTGCAATTTCTCAGGTAACGTGTCATCTTTGCTAACAAATAATCATAGTGAGAAGAAGAAAAACTTATAAATCTAAGTGACATTATATCAAAGATCTCTATAGATTCTCAATACAATGTGAATTTGCACATTGAAGTTATTGAATTTAATATATCACCAATAGATATCCATAGATCACATGTCGCCTGTATGATGAGACTAATGGATGTGAGGGATTAATTAACTCAACAATGCCGTACTTTCGATTGCCGACGTAATATCATTCATAGGTAGGATCAGCTTACAATCCCCGTAGAAACTCCCTTATTAAAATCTAATTGAATTCAGATTTCAACGTTAAGGAAATAATGAATAATTATGTTGTCAAAGGGACTACTAGTAATCAGAGTTGTGTTTGATGTAACGTATGTGTTTTAAAAAAAATTTTTAAACCATATCAACTGCCTTAAAAATTACTCAAAAATATGGTCAGTCAACGGTCGAACCATATTACTCGTTTACATTCATAAGCGTACAATATCAGGTGTGGATATTTCCAAAAATATATATATGTATGCATGTATA